TTTTGCACGTCCTGAAATCCTTCGCCAAACACTTTCCCACTCACGGTCCCAATTGAATAATTATAATCCCATTGAATACTCGATTTCGGCCGGGCCACCTAGCCAAGTTGTGAAAAAATGCCCTCAGGATTTAGGGTGAGAGGTTGGTGAGAGAGAGAGAGAGAGAGAGAGAGAGAGAGAGAAGAGAGAGAGAAAGGGATGAGAGCTAGAGCTAGCGAGTGAGCCCGAATACGCTAGACCGTAGATCAAAATTTTAAAAATTCCGAGCTTGCGAAAAACTAAATGAACTCTGTCTAGGGGGTCTGGGATGCCCGCGGGCTATTTCCTCACTTTTTGCAGTCATAACCCTCGAAATAATGGCGTTCATCCCACGAGGGTCTCTTGTTTCCGGCCCGCTTAAAGATTAGACACGTCAAAAATTCAAATTTTGAGTTGAATTTGCGGCTACCGTAATCTTGGATCGGATTCTACTGTACTGCTTGTTTTTATTCAGTTTTAAAGGAAGTATTCCGGATTGAGATATTTACATTAAAGTGGCAGTTAAAGAATAACTAATTTTCCTAGGAAAACAACAAAAACCGCGACACGCAACGCGCAGGAGGACTGTTTTACGGCAAAGCGTTGCGTATCGCGGGCCTGGCAAAAATCTTAAGGAATCCATGATGATGCAAATCCATAGTATCGTCTATAGTTATGCCTTGATAGCCATATTTTGTGAACCCGAAATTAAGAACCCTCAGCAGACCCTAATGGTCTTTGCTCGATGACCTCACTTCCGAAGACAAGAAATCGAAAAACTTCCGGCAGCACCGCAAAAAATGACCTCATTTTTTGGGCCTCCCATGGCCGGTTTGACGTCTTCCCGCTTTCCCAGATTCATCTCCTTATTTTGTGGATCTTTTACGCCAGTAAACGGGCAGAAAAGGCAGATAGAGATGCGGATGAGGGGCCGTGATTTGGCCAATTATCTAGTGGATGGCACACACACCTTCATCGTCATTTGGGAGGGCCCTAAGGGGGGAGGGGGGATGGGAAGAATTCTCAAATTGGGCCCTTGGCCCACCCCCATCCGGGCGGACCTTCATTTCTTCGGCATTCCCGGGGATACTGGCTCAAAAGTAGGGCTCACCCACGCGGAGGGGCTGTTGCTTTATGAGATGTACTCATTGGTCTCGTATTCCGGGCTTTTATTGCCTGATATTGACTGATATTAAAATATTTTTTGGGCGTTGGTTTAGTTCCTGTGCTTGTGTACTTTAAATAGTTTCTTCCGGGTGCTGAACAAACTTGAAAAAGCGGTCTGAATCGCCGTTTTTTTTTCAGAAGTTTTTTCACAAAAAATCGAGGAGTGAGAGCCAGAGAGAGAGAGAGAGAGAGAGAGAGTGAGAGTGAGAGAGAGAGAGAGAGAGAGAGAAAGAGCGAGACTGAAAGAGACCTAGACAGAGACAGAAGGATAGGGAGCGAGGGAGTGAGAGAAAGAGAGAGATAGAGAGATGGAGAGAGTGCAACATAGCAAATCAACTTTTTGGTTTTCGTTTGTTATCCCTATGTTTAACATTCGCCCCGATCTTCCGAAGACCCAAAAATTCCATTTGTCAAGTGCGGCAAATTTGCGCTTTTGAATGTCATGTTCTTTAAATCATTTTTTTTTGCTTTTTGAAGAGGATGACGAAAAATTAATTTTTAACAATTTTTATCAATAGTTTTTTGGCAAATCGCTGTACCATAATAATTTCTAACGGCTTAAACAAGTATTTACCCGGACCTGGCCACGTTCCGAAAGTGCAACCCACTTCCCAAGCTATTTGTTTATCCAATTCCAGCCTCCTGGGTTCGCTTAGAATATTATATATCATTTAGATTTAATGGAAAATAGGCTAATGTGCTTTTTTCATCAAATTTGGCAGCAAATTTGCTATTCGACAGTATTCAGATAATTTGCGAAACCATGCCATCGTGTTCCCAATTTCCGGAATATTTTTCGCCGAAAATACACCCTTAATTTTCCGGATGAATAAACCGTTTACTAGACCGGAAAAATCCGCTCAAGGCACTTGATCAAAATGTAATAAACTGATAATCTGATAAGAAGATAATCCGGCCCATCGTGGCGGGACCCAAATTTTGGCCGCCTCCGGGGATCTGGATGAATAAATGATTGGTGTGCGTTCAGGGGGCCAGCAGCTGTTTTTGTTCTAGTACTTCCAAAAAAACGAAAGTCTCCATTTCAAAGTAGGATATTCGGGCACGGAGGCGACGTGTATGTCTTTATGGTGCCTCCACCTCCAATTTCCGCAATTTTTAGTGTTTGTCCGTGCTGGGCTAGAGACTTTTTTAGGTCTTTGAAGGCCACTTTTAACTGATAGGGAAATGTGTATCAGAAAGATCTGTTGTTTACCAGCCGATTACAGCCGCTTCGCGACTGTAATCGGCTGGCCTTCGGGCTGCCCTCCATGTTCTACGCCACCACATTACATCTCTATCTTCACCAATACCCACACCAATCGCTTCAGACACCCCCATAGCCACCCCTGCACAAAATTAGCTACTCCTTGAAAAACTACTTAAAACCACTTAAATACCTCCCTGATGGCTTCAGATACCGCCCCCCGTCCCGATAGCCGAAATCCCCTTCAAAAACTACTTAGATACCTCCCTGATGGCTTCAGATACTCCCCATGGCTGAAATCCCCTTCAAAAACTACCTAAATACCTCCCTGATGGCTTTAGATACCCCCCATAGCCGAAATCCCCTTCAAAAACTACTTAGATACCTAGATACCTCCCTGATGGCTTCAGATACTCCCCATAGCCGAAATCCCCTTCAAAAACTACTTAGATACCTAGATACCTCCCTGATGGCTTTAGATACCCCCCATAGCCGAAATCCCCTTCAAAAACTACTTAGATACCTAGATACCTCCCTGATGGCTTTAGATACCCCCCATAGCCGAAATCCCCTTAAAAAACGAAAATAACGACCGACCGGATGGAATGAGAGAAAAAAAAGAAATGAAATCCTCCGTGAAAATTTTCATCCACGAAACGCGCGCGACCTGGCTCACTATGCGAAAATCTTGCCAACCACCGTCCCCCACCCCTTTTACTAACAAGGGAACCTCACGCGGACAGGGTGGAATTACGAAAAACGCTCGCGGCTACCCCCAGGTAATCGTCCATTGCGATCACGATGCGCTTGTCAGATTTTTCTAAAGAGACCTGTGGACAGAGATACAGCACTTCCGGAAAATACTGATTTACATGCAAAAAATTAGCATAGCTGAATGGTTGATGAGGCTCTCCCATCACTATGGAATCACCAGTTGAATGGCCGAGTGGTAAGCGACTCGCTTGATAGGATTATGACCAGGGTACGGTCCCGCTCACGACTTTTTCGTTTTGCTTTTTGGCTAGCGATTTTTGCACAAGTCCAGAATGTTACTACCTTTAGTAAAAACCGAGCTTTGCGCTGTATTTCATGACTAGCCATAAAGATAAAAATTCGAAAAACGAAAATTGGATGTTCCGGCTGGTGGTTCCACACCTTTCTGCCAAAAAGCCAAAATTTTGAAGGAACAATCTTTTGACTTCGACGTATGCACAACTCCTATAAACGTGGTAAGCAGGCCAAAAAGCAAAACGGAAAAGCCGTGAGCGGGACCGTACCCTGGTCATAATCCTATCAAGCGAGTCGCTTACCACTCGGCCATTCAACTGGTGATTCCATAGTGATGGGAGAGCCTCATCAACCATTCAGCTATGCTAATTTTTTGCATGTAAATCAGTATTTTCCGGAAGTGCTGTATCTCTGTCCACAGGTGTGTTCGGAAAAATCTGACAAGCGCATCGTGATCGCAATGGCCGATTACCTGGGGGTAGCCGCGAGCGTTTTTCGAAATTCCACCCTGTCCGCGTGAGGTTCCCTTGTAAGGAAAAAACTTTCAAAGTTAATTTTAATAATTTAAATTAAAACTTTTTCATAATTTTTTTATCAGTTTGGGGGTTTCTGATGGCGCTCTATCCGAATCCGAAGAGACCTAAGCTCTAGCTCCTTCCCCCTTCGAGTTGAATTCGGGACATGACGGACAGACGGACAGACACCCCTATCTTTTTATTATAGTTGATGCTTATTGATGAGGACAAGCTAGCAGCGAATTTTGAAAAGCATCTAATCATGCCATAATTTGAGGGCAATCTAGTAGAGCTAATTGCAGAAATCCAGTTAATTTGGTGAAAATTCAAAAGCGGGCGAGCAGAAAACCTTGAGGAAAGCAAACGAATTTGGGTGGAAGCTGAGCTAGAAGATAAACAGGAGGAAATCAAGCTACTCTTTGAAAAAAACAAACGCAACTAATTTTGGGGGAAGCACCACTCGGCTTATAAAACTGCCGAGGCAAGCTAGCAGTGACCTTTAGGGAGCGCAGCTTGCCGTAATTTGTTGTCTAGTAAAGCCAATTAAAGATTTCGAATTCCACTCGCGCCACGGAAATCAATGTTTTTTGGAACTTTCTGGATTGACGTACGATACTTTTCAGCTTTACACTTTTTCAGAGGTTTTCGTACAAAGCGAAACTGCGTCTGACCTCTTTGAAACACTTGAAAAACGTGCACATTTCCCTAGGTTTTCCCTCGAATTCCCGCAAAAATCAAGCACCAAAGCGCGTAACTCCCCACCCTTGACGCCGGCCCGGGTTTTCACAAAAAATAACAATTAACGGCCTCAAAAATTTTGGGGGTGGGGCTCGCGGGGATGTTGCCCTGGATACTTTGGATTTGAAGCTTTGGTAACTTTCTGTTTCTCTCGCCCGCTGGCCGTCACTCTCTCTCTCTCTCTCTCTCTCTCTCTCTGTATCTCTCCCTCTTCGACTCCAATGGTTCCAAAAAAGCAAAAAATGTTCGAGGGAAATTGGATATCCGCCCCTTTAATTCATCCAATTTGGTTTTCTCGCCTCCCAGCGTCTGGATTTCCAGCATTTTCCCTCACTTCCCACTGCTTCATAATGCTGCTCCTGGTTAAGATTTTGACCCTGCGATTCGGGATGCAAAACGAGACGGCGGTGGATGATGCTATGGATTGGGTCTGGAATACTACATTGGCGCCAAGCACTGTTTATCGACGACCTGTAAGTTTTATTATTAATTTCATGATGGCTAAACAGTACCGCGTTCTTGAACGTGGTTTATTCTACTAACAACAATAAATGTATTTTTTTAGGAGATGTTCTACAACATTGTCAACATTTCAAAGGTGGTCCCGCTGGTGAGTCTATCAATTTGTTCTCTTAAGCCGATTTTGCGACTTAATTATGTCTTGCGCATCAAAATTCAATTTTTTTACCCAATACATATTAATTAAAAAGACCGCTAACTTCTTTTGAAAGTTTAGAATGTTTTAAGGTAATTTTTCTGATGCAGATTCTACATTTTTTTGAGGTTTTTTAGTTGTTTCAATAACCGTCCTTTGTGATTTCACCAGAAAATAGGGGTATTATATAAGGCTAGAATTCCGATAACTATTCCTAACCTATTATGGCTAAAGACTACAAACTAGAATATCCCAAATTTTCGATTTAGGATTGGGCAATTCCCCTCTACGGAAAAGTTATGCCACTCCTCGTCATCGTCACCACGGTCACGAACTGCTTCATCGTGTTGGTCCTCTCCCAAAAACACCTAAGAACACCGACCAATGCGGTATTGCTCGCGATGGCTGTTACAGATTTGCTGACTGGTAAGCTTGACAAAAACCCTACATTTTTTCCTAATAAACTCAATACGGCAACCAAATATTTGCAGGTTGGACCTCGATCCCGTGGTTCGTGCACTACTACTCTTTAGGCGGCTATAAAATTGATGAATGCAAGTTTGGAAAAATGAACATTATACAAAAAACGTTTAGTGTACGGCATGGACCAATTCTGGTGTTACGGTCATAAATATTTGTCGGATATAATACCATCTAGTAAGTTTGTGAGATTCTCGTATCTCTCTCGCTCTCACTCTCTCCCCCACTGTCTTTCGCCCTCTCTCTCACTCTCACTCGCTCTCTCTCGCTCTCTCTCTCTCTCCTCGCTCTTTCTCGTACTCTCCCTCTCTCTCCCTCTCTATCTCTCTCACGTCTCTCTCTATTCGCCTTTTCCATTTTTACCATCCCGTTTTCAGTACTCCACACGACAGCCACCTGGCTGACCGTATTCCTAGCCGTCCAGCGATACGTCTACGTTTGCGTACCGAATTCCGTCCACCTCTACTGCACACCAAAAACGACTCGAGTGGCTATTTGCTCGATTTTGATGGTAATTTAAATTTAATTGATTAAAATCTACTTATTTCATTGTCCAGCTCTCCTCCGTAACAGTCATGCCTGATCTGATGGCTAAGCAATTCTCACATTTCATCTACTTCGATCAGCATCTCGGGCGACACAAGCGGGCCTGTCGATTCGAATATCCAAAGTAGGGCTTAGGGGCTTAAATGCCTAAAACTACCGGTATTCAGATGGGTAGAAGTGATCGGAATGGTAACGTACTACACGGCTTACCTATGGATTCGAGCTATTATGCACTTTATACCTTGCACGCTGCTTTTGGTAAGTTGCGAATTTGTACGTCGAACTCGCTGAGGATGCCGAACGTACCACGTAACTGTCGATACCTAGTGAAACAAAGGGGTCGATTTTAGGCCTATTAGTCCCTTTAAAAGTTTTGTTTTTGAATTTTTTTAACCACTTCCGATGTCAAAATAGTTGAAATATGGCTTCCTGTCCTTTCCAGAATTATTTTCATGACCCGAGCTAGTTTCGGGGCCACGCTTCCACTTGAAAACCGCTGTTTTAAGCCTAACCAATTTCTACGCCAATTTCCAAGCTATTTTTTGGTTGAACAAAAACGTGCCGCAATTTGGAACACGTCCAGAAATCCGTGTTTTCAAAGAGGCCCTGAACGCCCTTACTAATTTGACCTTAATAACCCTGCCCTAATCAAGAGTCTGACCAGAATTTGCCCACCCTGCGTCGTGGCTGGCCCCTGGACACGAGACACGTTTTTCATGGCATAATTTGAGCCCGGGGTGGAGGAGCAGTAGGCGGGTTGCGTGGAATTATTTGCTCGCGGGAAACTGAGACCTACCGGGGACCTACCGGGGAGTTTGCGGGGGTTCGCGGGGAGGAAAGCTGTTGCACCTGGATTCCGGAGATCGGGGAACGGTGAGAGAGAGAGAGAGAGAGAGAGAGAGAGAGAGATAGTGACAGAGCCAGAAAGAGCGAAGTAAAAACATCACTTTTTAGATCTTCACCTACAAACTCGGCCGTACCATCAAACGAGCAGAGATCAGGAAGCGCTCGTTTATTCTGAATCAAGATGGCTCCGAGAGGAAGCATTCCACAGTCTCGAATAAGTAAGTTTTTGCCTAGATTTGCATGGCGGACTTCGAAAACAGAATAGAAGCCCATAGTTTTTCTGTTGCTGCGGTATTTTGGTTTTAACAGTGGTAAAATAGAGCACGAAAGGGATCGTGACAGGAAGAGACAGATAAATTGTGATGTCACGATCCCTTTAAAGGAACCAGACAGTGGAAAATCGACCCCTTTCGGCGACTAGGTCTCGACAGCACGCTCCCGCCGGGGGAAATCGCGGATTCCGGGCTAAATTTTTCACAAGCTCATGTACTAAAATCAACTTTCCGTATCGTGGGAAGGCGCGTCGTTGTCGAGACCGAGTATTTGGCATCGGTCGATTTGAGGCCTCCTAGCTCTTTTAAAGTGTTTTATCAAACCCCAACATACCTGTATATAGAAAAGCTTTTGTTGTCAATTTTCGTTCAACTCATATCGCATGCCCAGCTTTTGGTTGCTAGCTAGAGATTCTTATGCTCTCTGCAGTCCGGTGAGTTGCAGCGGTCGCAGTCTGTACGCGACGAATCGAATGCTGTCGGTGATTTGCTCCGTGTTTCTCATACTCGAGGTAAACTGAAAAACTAAATTAAAACTAAAAAAATGAAATTTAGATCCCGGCCTCCGTCGCGTTTATCTTGCAATTCTTGATAGGATCCGGTTGGCTGGTATCTTCACAGAAAGACGAATTGGCGGGATTGCTGAATCGGTTAATGATTATACGGTAAGTTACGAGGATTTAAAGGGAATGGCTCTAATAATTTGCTAAATTAAAGCAGAAACGCTCATTCTATAAAGCCTGATGAAGGACAAAGCTAAAACCTAAGCCCAAGCCCAAGCTAGGGCTAACCTAAGTTTACGCTAAAAATACGCTAAGCCTAAAGTAAGCCAAAGCCTAGGCCAAGTCCTTGGGCTAAGTCCAACCTGATTTTTCAAGTCATTTTTGTAGTTTGAGTTTCAACTAAGTTTCAAGATTTTCTCAAAACTGTTCTGGTTGGAAATACGTGTCAGCTGTCAAAAATCCTAAGAGGAATAAGACACCTATTTTAGCAACCTCTTGATCGTCCTAACATCCCCGATCCAGTTCATCATCTACTGCTCCATGTCCGAACAGTTTCGGATCACGGTCCGGCAGCTGTTCACGAAAAGGCTGCTCTTCGTTGCTCAGGTTTTCAAAAACGTCGTGAGGTTGAATGCTTTGTCCTAGGCCCAAGCAACATTCCATGGCGGAAAGAGGTATTCTCTCATTCTGGTCGACGTCGACTCAATCGAACGGCGGAATGGGGGTAGCAAGCGCAATTCGAGAGCTGTGGTCAGCTGGTAAGCTATAGAAATTTGAAAATTTGCGCTTTGAAATTTGAAAAAATTTGAAAAATACCGACGTTGATAATGCCGAAATTTCATAATGTCGAAATTCATAATATCGAAATTTCAGAATTGAAAAGTTTGAAAAGGCCGAAATTTCCATCTGCAAAAGCTTACCTGATCAAATCTCCCAGTAAATCTGTCAAATTTAGATAAAACGTTTCGTCATTAACAAATTTCGACAAAATATCGGCATACCTCATGGGCTTTCGACACTAGGATATTTTGACATTAAGTAACTTGGAACTAGCACTGAGATTAATGAGAAAATTTAGAAAAATTACAAGCGCCAAAAGTTTAAAAAACCGTTTATGTTACAAAAACGATAGTCCAACTTTATCATTTCTTATTAATGCTCCTTTAGCGCGCTCAGATCCCTTGGCAAAGCCGGCAGACGCATTTTGAACGGCGGGGAAACGCCGAATTTCACCTCACAATCGGCCCCAAAGTCTGTTATACCGGAACGTACGACTGGTTACTGGTTACCCTACGTGTTTTCGCTTTCCCCGTGGAATATATAGCTTATGCATGTTCGCCATTAGCCCTAACCTTTTGCCTAGGTCTTAAAGTTCAACCCTTCAATAAGTCCCGGGTCCTTCAATCCTTCCTTTTACAGCGAACCACGAGAACCATCCGTAAAAGTGGAGTACCCTGAATCGGGGACACAAGAGCGCCGGAAAATGGGGAAGGTGGGACGTCAGGTGTCGTTCAAGGATCGACCGCTCGATCGGAATCGGGGTATGGGTAGTTTTAAGGAGTTTCTTTCTGTCACTCGCTTTGCTCTTCCACTCTCTCTCTCTCTCTCTCTCTCTCTCTCTCTCTCTCTCTCTATCTATATCATCAATTCTCTATTAATTCCAGATTGCCCTTCCGCGTCGATCGTCACCAAAGAAACGTCTCCAGGAAATGGGCGGCGCCTATCTACCGTAATCCAAGAACCAGCAAGTCCAGATGCTGTGATTACCGTATGTCTCCTAAAAGCCAACCTGTTAAATCATCCATTTTAGCCACTAGTTCTCGATACCGAAAGTGATTCACTCTGGAGTCAGCCGACCACCTCGACCCTGGTTTCGGAGCGCCCGAATGGAGATGTAGGGCAATTTTATGAACTTTAAAGGGCTTGTGAAGGCAAAATTCTCGCGGATTTGAATATAAAAATATCGAATTCAGCTAGATAAAAGCTGCGTTTAGATCCCAGAGATTCGAATCGAGCTGAAGGAGTGCTCGACATCAAATGAAGCGCTCGGGGAAGAGGGTGTGGAGCAATAAAAATTTGATCGATATTTAAATATGATTTGTGTAGGTTCTATAACTTATCAATGAAATCAATAAAAGCCCGGTTTTCACGGTAACCCATGTATTTTTTTAAGTTTTGTTAAAATCGGCTGCAGCAACTTAAAAACCCGAACGACGGGTTGATGGGAATCTCCACTTTTTTCTTTGTAGCCAATCTTTCTGCGAATTATGACTAATACAACTCAAAAATGACAAATAGATAGACTCAAGACGTTCCCCAATTTTCCCATCAACCGCTTATTTTGTTCCGCTCGATTTTCCCGTGGAATTTTTGAGCGTCAACCTATTTTTGCGGTGTTTTTCCCGGCGGCCAGCCGGCGGCTTTCCTCTATTTTCTTTTTTTTGTGTTTTTCTCATTTTCTTATCACATTGATGTTCTTTGCCGAGGTCCCAATAAAAAACGCGAGAAATTGGTAACAGTATACCTTAAGACATTCGGCGCTGTAAGGGCCCCCAAAAACACAATTAGGCCCCAAATTTCTGTGGTTTCCGCTTTTTGTCCGGATTTCCCCATGCCATTTGTTGCAACCAGTTTTCGGATTTAGATGTTCCAGCTGTCGATTTTAAATTTAGTGGCACCCATTTGTAGCTGGGATACGGCGAGAAATGTTAAAGCCGAAAGGGATTTGGGGACGTCTTGTTAGTTTGCGTATGGAAAAGAAAGGTTATTTTTGCCGAAAATTAGAATATCCGTCGCAATTGCGTTTTTTTTCTAAAATTATTTTGTTTTACCGATTCGCTGATAGGATATGGCTTTAAACATTTCCGTAAAATTGAAAAAATAAATCGAAATTGTGTACATACATCGGGAGCAAACGCTGAAAAAGCAGGGCACTGAAATTAGATTAAATTCGATAAATTAAATTAGAGCATCGAGATTTTAATTTTAAGCTTTCCAAAAAAGCTTTTAATCAACTTGATTAGATTTATCTCTAATTATTTAACAATCATAATTCGCATCAATACATATATTTTTAGTCATAGATGTTAACTACAAAAATGTCGAATGTTTTAGGGAATAGGAATCACATTAAAATTTTAAAACGTTAAGCTTATGAAAAAGTAATAGTAAAAAAAAGTAAAAACTCAAGCGGTAAGGTTACTAATTCTCCATTAATTCATTAATTTTTACAGAAAAAATGTGGCAAAATTTAAAAACGGGGAAAACAAAACTAAACAGGATCAAAAAATTTGTTAAAAAAGATGCAATTGCATAAATTCAAAATTCGTAGCCGGAGCAAATTTTTGCAAGCATTTAAAAACCTCATTTTTCAATTTATAAATTTATGAAGCGAGTCGAAGCAGCGCTAGCCTCTGGATGTCACGAGCAGCCGCGGGGCCATTTGCATATTCTGCCCCCTTTTTAGACGTCTCAGCTATGACCCCCCTCTCCAGAGGCCAGCAAAACCAAAAGCGGGATATGCAATGAGATGAGGTCTACCCCCCGGCTATCCGCACCGCCATTGCATTTTTAACCGCTGATTTTTTTTTCCGGCGAAAGTATGCGTCGTGGGTAGCGGGATCAAAATATGAATCGTTCCGTTCCATTTCTTTCCTATTTACGATTGGTACGCAAAATATAGCTTGTCATTTGGAACGCTTCGTAGCTCAGGAAATTCCCACGATTTTGTTGTTTTGAGGGGAAATTACGTGCTGTTCGCTGTAGTCTGCCGGAAATTTTGGTTCAAAATTTTCGAAGCAAACACTGGATTAAAAGGTTTTTCAATGTTTCTTATAGAATTGCATAAAAGTGTGTGCTTTGCTAGCTTGCCCGCTGAATTTTGCATAAAAAGCTGTTCTGTTTTACTAACCGAGTCTCGGATTGCCTTTTTAATTTTCGAAACCTTGAAAGTAAGAGATCTGTTGATTACGGTATTGCATTAAAATAAATGCCACGTCACGCAACGCTACTTTGCGGTCAGCTACGCCACGCTAAGGTTTAATAACGAAAAGATTTCCTTTAAAATGCGTTAAACCCATATTGCATCAGCTGCTTGTGCTAAAAACCTCTGTTAGTTTTCCATCGAAAATGAGCATACTACGATACCTTAACCGTATCCCGATCTGGTTCTCAACTGCCAGAATCTATGCTGGCTTGCCTTAAAAATACAGAATTTCGTAAAGTTTTAGTAATTTCGTATTTTCGTAAACCCCTAAAATTCGGTTTTAATTATCTAAACCATGCCCCAGTTGGTTCTACCGTAGCTGAAGACCCCTATAAAAAACTGACGTGTATGATGTGTCGTTTATATATCCGTAAGTGAATACCCTGAATCCCTTTCCGGTCGTCGCCAAGTTTCTTTTCCAGGGACGCACTCGAGAAAGTGTTGGGTGCTTCTCGTTTCCTTTAAAAAGGCCCCCGGGTCCCGAGGGACATTCCCGCCAGGACCCGCTCCTTCCTCACTTACCCCCTTCCTCACTGTCCAATCTATATCCTGCCCCTTTCCATAAAGAAAGCGGCCCTCTAAAATGTGTTTTTTGCTCCGTTCCAGCTCGTCCTCTGACCCGACCGAAATCGCCGCAGATGTTTATGCCAGATTTTGCAACTTTTGCTTTTTGAGGGTAGCGCCAGGCTCGTACACTGAGTGACGTGGGTTTTCGAGGGCTAAAGGGCTAAAGTTTTTTTATCTTGTCAATTTACGTACAACTACGTTACGCTATTTAGCTACGCTGTAGGAGACACGGAGGAGTTTAACGTGTTTTTTCAAGGTGACCTAAACTCGAAGAGACCCGGTCGGTGGGATGGTTGATTTTTCACTTCCTTGTGCTTTTAATTTGGTCTGGACCTAGTTAGCTTCCTTCCTTCCTTCCTTCCCTTTAATTTGTCTAGACCTAGTAAACGTAAGGGATGGATTTTGGCCGATTCCAACACACGCGAGTTTTCGCTGGGATTACGACGTAGCCGTCGAGACCTAGTAGGGAAAGGGGCTGATTTTGGTACTTCTCAGCGCCTTAAACTAGATTCCGCACAAAACATTTAGGAGTTGTTAGGGATCTCGCGTAGTTGGAGGGGCTAAGTCGACGGAAAACTTCACTTCCCAGTTCCTTAACCCCGATTTCATTTAACATGCAAAGATGGGGTTAGGAATATCCCGTCGTTGTCGAGACCCATTCACTCATTTAGGGGATTTTGTCCTTTTCTTCAAAACTAAGCTTTAAAAGGTAGATTACCGAACTTTCCAGTCCCTTTAAAGTTTAAACTAGACTCAATTTAACACCCAGATGCCGCAATTCAACCCCCGAAATCAGGAAGTCATGCTCCCCAGTGTTTTCTGACGTACCACAGCCGTTCTCCGGTATTCCCACGCTTCCTTCCGCCCTATTGCACCCCGTAAAAGCAAACACACGCTGGAATCTGTGCTCACTAACCCCCCGGTGTGTGTTCTCTGGATGTAATGAAACTTTCACCCTTCTTGCAATGCACCTGAAGGGCCCATTTCAGGGCCCAACCACTCGGCCTTGCCTGGAGTTTTTGTTGGTCGTCGTTTACAACCCCTTGGGGTCTGGTTTTAACATGGCGCGCCGGCGACTCGTAGAACTCGTAAAACGGGCCAAGATTGGAGTTTTTCCGGATTTTCCGGCGCCATGCCCATCTTCCGGGCCCATCTTTTTGACCCTGAGCCTCATCACTTTTGACTTCCAAGGCTTCCGGCACGTTTTCGGAAGCGTTACTGCTATTCTGATCGGCTTTGGTCTGAGCGTTGCACCAAGACACACGGGAAATCTAAAACTTTAGCTTTTCAAAATCATGAAAAACCGGAGATTATAAATTTTCAAATGTCTATTATTATTAAATATTCCTTGCTTCTATTTTCTAACATCAATTTTGTAGCCTTGTACCGTTTTGTTAAATTGCAGAAACGCGGAAATTGTTTATTTTGGCTAAACGAATTAAATATATTGCGCGGTACTTTTCCGAGAGAGACAGATATAGGCAGAAAATCTACGGTATACATATACCCTATGCTCGATTTTCGCCGACCCTGCGCAACCGCCAAAGGATCACATTTTTGTCATCCCCCGGTTTCGAGCCGTTCCCAAAAAGTCTCTGCTAGCTTGCCTAACCAGGAAAAAAAAATCATGTTTTAGACCTATTCTATGACGCTTTCCCCTATCCAAGTTGCACGCCAGGAAGCAGACTCCCTTCCATTCTTTGTCCTCAGGCTCCAGCTATTCCTTCCAGCAGACCCATAAATCGTGCCCCATAATACCGTACACAAACCCCATTCTGAAGCAATGACCCCTGAAATGAAGTGAAACTCTCGAGGTTCCACAAAGTGCCCTCGGTCCATTCCCTGTTCTCCCCAGGGCCCCACCAGGACCTTCCCGATTTATGCCCCCGAGTCCAGCACGTATAAAGAAGCCCCCCCCCCCCCGTTCTGCTGCTGCTTCTTCTTCTTCTCCTGGCCCCCCACCCTGAAACGAGCATTTAAGGGCCACAAAAAATGGGCCGAAGCAGCCCGCCGCTTCCCCCTAGGTCTCCCGATCCCACAAAGTGATCCGCCAACCCCTGAATTATGGGCCACTGAAGGCTTTTTTCGGGCTTTTTGGGGTAGCTGGAAGACAGGGCAGAAAGTCGAGGCCAAAAAAAGAGCCTTAACTTTCAGATTTTGGACTTTTTCCGGTCGACTTGTATGTTTCCAAATTCCTGGCGTTCTTTGAGCTTTGTTAATGACTTCCGAATCGCAGGCCTCGAAAACTAAGAGTACCGTAGTTTCCCAAAAAGGCGCCAAGTGCTTTGAGCGGAAATAAATTTGCAATCTTTTTGTTCGTTACAATGTTTTTCAAAATCAAGCTTCTCGTTCCTCAAGCTGATTAAGCTAGGTTGTTTTCGCTTCCTAACCCCGTTAAAGGGCCGGCAAAAGGTGACTAGCACCATATATTGACTTTGATTGCGCCGCACCGCGACACGCAACGCGTCAAATTTCAGTGATATAAAAAATATAAAAATCCCCGATAAATCACGAGCC